TAATTGTTTTGATGTTAATCATGAACTTCTGGACAAACATTTGCTTTTTCTCTGGTATTAACGGTTTGAATACATGAATAGCATTAGCGGTCAATACTAAGCAATCAAACAATAGTAAGAAGACATCGCAAAGAAATAATTCAAAGTCTAATACAATTGGCGATTATTTCACACCATTTAAAGACCGATATGTGCTATTAGTTCCAATTAGTACCAAGGTGGTGTGGTTGCAATAATAGACGCATTGCATCCATTGTGCCACAAATACCACAGGTAGGGCCGGGAGGTTTTCCTAACACAATGTTTGTATATTTTGCATTCAATACAATGTTATAGTGAAGTGATATTAAAGTATTGTCTGACTGTCGGCCACATTATGACCGGTGAGTCCGTCTCCTGCGAGCGGACAGAGAGTCCCCGACAGCCGAAGAGTCGGAATGAGAGCTCGAGATAACAAGAATGGCGTTCAGAGACTCGGAGGACATAATTATCTCAATCTGTGATTACAGTCAATCGAGACAATCGAGGCTTGAGGTCATGACTCGTATGAATTTCTGGAGAGAAGTCCTTTCGTACTGAACGCATAGATATTTGAATTCTTTTTATAATACATTTTATTGAATCCGTTCACTCACATAGTACTATCAAATTGTCCCTGTACACATTTAAATGCAACTTAAATATAGATTTAAATAAAAGTAATTGATATTTTATATCAGAATTTAAGATAAATATTGATAGAAATAAAGAGTTCTCTGAATTAATAAAATATTTATTTAAAAACATACAAATACTTAACAAAATGTAACAAAACTTTTGCCGATATCTCCACTCATCTCGAGTCGCATACATTTCTTATGACATCCCATACCATACGAGTCGACTGTCCGATTCGACGAGTCGCCAGACGGGACACCTCTGAGCACTGACCCACCCCTCCACCCAACCGTTGTATCACTGTATAGTTGTAAATGTAAATGTGTAATGTTTTGTAATTATCCACTTGGTAAGGGCGAGAAAACGGTAGTACAGTATATCTTATCATAAAATTTCATAATTTTTTCAATACAATTCTTATTATATTTAATACAAAAGTGCACAACTTGTTAAGGACAGGTATGGCTTTCGTCTACAATAACTTTTCTACTGATAATCTATGTATTAATCCATATGATATTCATATTGAGTGATAACTATCCTACAAATTAAACCATAGTTTGATCCCATAATAGATTAAATTTTTTATCACGACTTAATGACCGTTAATATAACTTATTTATAATTCAATGGTTTATAATAAAACTCATATTCAATCATAATTTAATTGGAAAACCAATTGAACGCATACTTTGAAATATTTTATTAGATCCTAAATCCCTTGAATGGACCCAAACTTAGTGACTATAGACGTGTGAATCCCTGTCCACCCCTTCCATCTCTCCTGAACTGTTGGAGCCGTCCGTCGCGTCTCAGCTGAGGTGGTTGAGCATGGTCATATTTCCATGTTTCCCAATCTTAAAATCTCATTTATATAAATCGTTTACATATAAATAATTATATAAAGATATTGTTTTGTAAATAACAATTAACTGGATAATTATCTAATAATAAATAGTGGTTTATGCAATGCATTTGAATAATTTCATAATAATTCTAAAATTATTAAATGCAGTGTTAAATATTAAAGTATTTAAACATATAGTAAATTGTGTCAATATAAAAGCGGCGCCAAAAGGGTCGTTAATCGTTGTATTAAATTAACTATGGGTTAGAATTGAGCTAGATTAAAACAAAATTTTTTGCAACTATTGTTTTTTGGCACGAATATACTCGTATGCCAACTTTCCCCTAAATCTTAAGGGAACGGTAGCTAAAACTATTTTATTAAAACATATAAATAAATTTCTATTTTGAGACTTATTTTATTTTATTGTAAAATTAATTTGGAAATTGACGGCTGGAGTCAAATTATGACATTCCCTTCCACTCCCCGCAAGTGTTGGAAGTGACTGAACATAACGGCGCCAAATATGTCACCACTACTCATGGCTTTCAATATATGATTATTGAGTCGACAGACACCGCGGGAACCGCTTCTGCAGGCGATGACACTCTAGAGCAGATGGACATGAATGAAGGCATTGAGAGCACCGGTACGGCGACCGCCACTGACGAGGCTATGAGTGTGGAGGCGATGGATGACATCAAGAAGTGTGCGCAACAAATGGTGGATCTGTTGAGTGATAACAATAACACTTATGCTTATAATTACAGAATTAATTAACTTAGCTAATAATTACAAAGAATTACTACTGTACATAGAAAAACAATAGCAATTTGTTTTGCAAAGCAGGTCTAGTTTTTTAAATTGGTGTTCAATTCTAATAAACGTATTCTCAGTACAATACTACAATTAATTATGTAGTATTTACCCTGGATTGATTTATTGAGTTATTTAGTATTTATAAGGAATTTGTTATTCATTAGCATATTGTGTTTGATGGGATGTATGTATCAAATGTATAAAATAAGTGAACTATACTTCGGATACCAGACCACTACTAATGTCTGGTACGACGAGTCAACAGTCGCGACCATTTCATACCCAGCGTTCACTACATGTGTGCAAAAGAAATACCTAGTAAATAGAAGCTTGGTCACAAATCTATCACAATACGAAATTAATAAATACTTAAGTCATTTGATGGTTAAGCAACAATTTCAATCATTTGCTAGTTTACAACAAAAACTGTTTTTAATATGGACGTTGATAATTCATAATATTAATATTAATTTAATATCAGGATAACATTATCACAACAATCAATTATCAATATTATTGTTTCACGTTATTATCTGATCACAAATATAGTAAATATACCAAGATTATTAATTTGAGTTTTCACGATTCTAAACCGAGATTATTGTTAGGGATGGGAGGGGTGACCAGGGAGCACATCATCAATAATTATAAGTTGGGATCTATTCAAGAGATTTAGGATCTAATAAATCATTTCAAATTATTCTTTGAATGGGTTTTCCAATTAAATTATCATTTAATATGAGTTTTATTATAAAACATTGAATTTTAAATAAATAATAAGTTACAATTTTTATAAAATATACTGTATAGCACTTATATGTAGCGAATTTTGTTGTATTTTAAAGACCAGGATTGAAATATATATCTCGTGTCATGTCTAACGAGTTTAGGATTATTTGTGGATGATTATTTTCACCATGCTCATCTGTCAGTCGTTTCTGCGTCTATACAATTAGATTTAATAAATTAAATTGTTATCTAGTTATGTGAATATCATAATATACTTTTCCAACTAAATGAGTAAGGTGATAATTGCACGCATACTGTGCGATTGAATAACTGAATGCCTGTCCAAATAGTGTTATACCTTCATCAGGGTTACGCCATAAATTCATAGCTAAAATTAATTAAATCATATTTTTTAAATGTACAACGTCATTAATAGTTAAATGTGTATTTTTGTGTGATTAATAAAATAATAGCTTGCAATTTCAAAGTCACTAAATACCAAATTTTGGTATTAAAAGTTTATATTACTAGTGTTGTGTACTTTTAATAAAATTGTAGATTTAATTCATCGCTATTTTTTAGATTTTAAAAGTTTGTTAATGCATGAGTTTTATTATAAAACATTGAATTTTAAATAAGTAATAAGTTACAATTTTTATAATATATAGCACTTATATGTAGCGAATTTTGTTGTATTTTAAAGACCAGGATTGAAATATATATCTCGTGTCATGTCTAACGAGTTTACGATTATTTGTGGATGATTATTTTCACCATGCTCATCTGCCAGTCGTTTCAGCGTCTATACAATTATTAGATTTAATAAATTAAATCGCTATCTAGTTATGTGAATATCATAATATACTTTTCCAACTAAATGAGGAAGGTCATAATTGCACGCATACTGTGCGATTGAATAACTGAATGCCTGTCCAAATAGTGTTATACCTTCATCAGGGTTACGCCATAAATTCATAGCTAAAATTAATTAAATCATATTTTTTAAATGTACAACGTTATATCCGGGTTGCTTATACAAATACTCAATAACTTAAGGGTCTGTATAATACAATATACATACATTTTGAATGTGAATAAATGATATAGCTTTTATTATTATTCAAATTTAGATTAATCCGGATATTTTCAATTGGTTGATAAGTTTCTAAAAGTGAATACATGTATTAGTTTTGATACATGTCTCTCTCTCTCTCTCTCTCTCTCTCTCTCTCTCTCTATCTATCTATCTATCTATCTCTCCATCCCTCCCTCCAATAAATATAAATAAAACAAGATACAAACCAATAGTGAAAGTATTGAAAACAAATATTTTCGGTTTCATCCGAAGAGAGACATCACTCTTAGGATTATTAGCGGAGAATATGTCCACAATATCTGTGAACGACATCTCATTATCGACTCCGCGATTGCCGCAACCGTAGATCTTCTGATCAAATCCCCGGCCGATAACCATCACAAACAGGGCGTCGGCGACGAACCGCTGACACGACACTCCCAACAGGTTATCCTTGATCTGAGAGCACGTGAAGTCCACATATATCTCGCACTTGAAGTCTAACTGTGCGAAAATGGAGTACCACCGCAATATCTCGACGTTCAGGCCATCTGTGGTCACAAATATGATGGCCCGACCCCTCGGATGGGAATTCATTTGGAAACATTGTGAGTCTCCTGATCGCAGTTTAGATGCTTTTATCACTTTTAACTCGACATCAGTGGTGCACTCCCAGGGCTCCTTCGTTATGAACATTTTGAGCACATCCTCGGCCTCCCGGAGTCTCAGTCCAGCCGTATCAAACAACTGCTTGAACCGACCTGGACCCTTTTGCATTAACTCGTCCGCAATCTCCTTGATCAGTTTTTGGCCTTTATTCTCATATATTTGAATTTTCTATTTGTTTATAATGGTCACTGGTTATAATTAAAGTTCACAAGAGTACCTTTAATACAGTATAATAATATAATTGTGCTTACTTTCATTTTGGCTAATAATGGATCTTCGTTAGTAGCGGTAATCAAACCAAGGTTAATTTTATTAACTAACGTATGAATCATATCATAGACAATATTATTGTGCGAGTCGTCCGTTTGATTCACTACTATATTATTGTAGACATTGGGTTGGGATGCGAGTCCTGTCTCATAGGATTCGACTGCCGTTGAAGTATTAGCTAAAGATTGCAGTTGTTGTGGAGAATATGCTCCGTTTGCATACGTATACTCCGGTCCCTGACCTACTGTTCCTTCATTAGTTGGCAATTCGAGATCAAATAAGTCTTGCAAAACAGGGTGTAGTATATTATTATCCGTATTAATACTATTGGTAACCAAATGACTGGAAGTACTTTTAAACGAATGGACTGAAGTGGATGTCCCGTAACTTGGCGTCAGGGGTTCAGTATATGGCCATACAGTCTGTGCTCCCGATGTATGTGTTAGGTTTGGTTGACTGGAAGTCGTGTCCATACAGTTGTTGCGATTATCCGTTGAATTGACGCCAAAATTGTAACCATTATTTGCACCTGAATTGGGTTGATATTGGCCATAAACTGGTTGTATATTACCAGTATTCATTGGTGGTGCAGATGTACAATTTGTCATCGAAGTGTTTGCTAATACTTGTGGTGATGTCGATGTGTTTGTGTAAATTCCGTGACGTTTGTTGCCACTTGTAGCGCTCTGTGTATTGAATAATTTATTAATGTCACGTTTAAATTGTTCTAGCTCACATGTGTCATTCCCAATCTCAAACACTTGTGTAGTTTACAAGCCGAGCACGTATCAATAGGACAATTTTCCGGGTCATTTGGACCCATTTCTCCTTTGGGACACATTTTCTGTTTTAATAATAAAATAACTAATAGTTCTTTCACATCACATTGTTACAATACATTGATTTACAAAATAACATATTTTTGTAGTAATAGGATGTCTAACATAAAAATATAAAATTTAAATATTAAAAACTTTGTTGATATGTTAGTGAAAATCGGTACAAATAATTTATTTATTTATTCTAGTAATGGTTAAATTCAAAATAATGTCATTTCTTATAAACAGCAATAATTTACATTTTTTCAGAAATTTTATTTGATTTGCACAGTTTATAGAATAAATTCACTCCGATTATTTTGGCAAATGATTTCTCTAACAAGTAGTAATGAACTTTACGTTGGTTAAAGTAAATCTATGACTAGTTTATATATATTAATTTTATACGAACAACATTAAATAGATGTTCAAAATAGTTTTACCGATTTGCATTAACATTTATAAATCCATATAGAAATTTATTTACATTTTAATTTTTCTATAAGACACTATTATAATCAAATATTTTAAACTTAAAATATTGGTGTATATAGTTCAACATTATGTGCAACTTAATTTACCGAATATTTAGATCTTTTGCAGAACCATAATCTGTCAGCCTCACATGTGTAGATACCACTCCCTTTGAGAACGTAATTCTCACCTATTGGTATAAAGTTGTTAATTGAACAGACAATTACAAAACAGAATTTAAAAATGTTGTTAATTTAAATATACAATACCAAATCTTATATCTGGATGATCCCTGTTATTGATACCACAGACAACACATTCATGATATTTTGTCATCTCTTGTTGTTTAATTTAAAAACATATTAATTTCTTATGAAAATGAGGCACATTGTTAAATGTTTTATACTATTCTTACTGAAAATTATTCAGGCAATATAAATATTTAGATTTAATAAACATTCAGTAGTTAGTAATTGAAATAATATATTAATTATCATTATATTTAAAATAATTTGTTAATTGAATATAATAGTTTAATTTTAAACTAGAGGGAGATTCAATAAATAGAGTTAAATCTACAATCAAATCAAATGAACAATTTATACAAAACTAATGAAACCTAATTATATAATACACGTGATTGCAACAGATTCTAAATATAAACATTTAACCCTACTTACTAAAGTTAACGAATATTACATTTTAAACTTTCAATTAGATGTGTTCTATTTACATACTAACCATCCTGGTGACTCAAGTATTTCATTAAAAATTCTGGACAATGAAATTCTCTCTCTTTGAGCTATAGAACACTTTTAGCTAGTTATTTTATTAGTAGTAATTATTAATTGAAAGTTTTCCCTTATATATTTTAATAGATTCTTGATTTTCAAAAGATTACTGTTTGAAAACTAGAAATCGTAGCCAGGAGGTTTAGATCTTATATGAAAGCTTATACTTTCAGCTTTACTTTGTATATTTTAGATTTTATCCTGCTTCTATGCTGTGACTGATGACTATGACATTCGGGTTGGTCCAAAAATTTTATTTAAATACTTGAGTCACCAGGGTGGTTAACAAGTCAAAGGACTGGAAGTACTTTCAAACGAATTGACTGAAGTCGATGTCCCGTAACTTGGCACTATATGTAACGTTAGGGGTTCAGTATATGGCCATACAGTCTGTGCCCCCGATGTATGTGTTAGGTTTGGTTGATTGAACGGTGTGTTCATACTGTAGTTGCGATTACCCGTTGAATTCGCGCCAAAATTATTAACGCCTTGGTAATCCGCGTGATCTGTGCAAATGTTTACATTTGACTACAAGTGTGATTCAGTCACAATCGTGTCAAGTACTTTACGTTTTGTATGATTGGCGTTATTGTGTTGTGCATCATGTTTCCTTTTCTACGTGAATTCATAGAGAATTATTCCTCAATTAAAGACTACAATTACTTACGAATGTCACTCCGGTAAATAATCCTGGGCCATCATTTATATCACAATCTTTAGCATCGTTTGGACCCAATTCCATTGGTGAACACAATTCCTGTTGTATAAATTATTATATAGAAATATTATTTAATGTAACCATAAATACCAAAATACAGAAATATTATGGTTCTACCCCAAAAGGCCTAAAACCCAAAACACCTAAACCCCAAAAGGCCTAAACTCAAATAACTAACTGACCAGTTGACATTTTTAATTTGATTAGTGGAATGGACGTGTCTCAACCTAACCAAACCTATCCTCACCTAAATTAAGTCAAATTTTCATTGGTCGTTAGTTATTCAAGTTTAAGCCTTTTGGGGTTTAGACCTTTTAGGCTTTAGGCCTTTTCGGTTGTAGGCCTTTTGAGTGAGTCCCTATATAGACTTATGTTTCTTACCCTATGATCAGTATTGTTAGCCTCAATAGGTGCTAATAAATCAGCGTCAATCAGGTTTTCACCTTCGGTATATTGGAGTGACTCCGGTGAAATAAGTTGTGAATCATTGCTGAGAGAATTTGAATTGAAATCTGTATTAATGGTTGGGGGTTCGGAAGCCAGCTCTTGTATCTGATTGTTTGCCACAACAGTCTGATATAAACCTGTGTGGGTTCATTTAAATGAATACACGATTCATACAGTAGTTGTAACAAACCATTGGACTGTGATATGTTGGTTTCATTGGTGGTTGAGGTGTTTTGAATGGCATTCGTATTGATTTGCTGGCACTCTTTTGGTTCACTGGATGTCAACTCAATGGGTACAACGTCTTGCATATGAAGGAAGAGAATAAGTGTTGACATTTTCAATCATTATATTATGCCATACCTGTGGTTAAGTTTGGATAGGATGGGTGTGCAGAGGAAGGGCCTGCAAATGGATACTGTAATTGTTTGACTGGAGGTAAAATCATGTTTGGTTGACAAATGTTTTCTATAGGCAGTTCTGAGACAATCATTTCTTCATAAGGAGGCTCATCAATAGTAGTGGAGGGGTCAGAGGGCACATCAGGTCCTTGTATCGGGTTTTCTGCCACTACAGCCTGCATCAGAATTTGGTCAATGAATCAATCTAGTACATTTATAGTAGCTTTTCATATTCATCGATATGAATATACAAATTAATTATTTCTAAACTATTAAAGTATGAATCATTTTATTTCAATATCGAGAAAGGTTATAATAAATATATCCAATTCATACATATTAAGTTTCATTGGTATGAAAACCTATTCCTATTAAAGTTGTGACTAACCATTGAATTAGGATCTATTGGTTGCAGTGGTTGTTGAATGAAGTTTTGATTAGGATTTATGTCATCTATTCTGTGGTCACCCTCGGGTTCAATGGCTGTCACCCCAATGTGTGGTATGTCTTGCAAAACGGTAAATAACATGAGTGTCACACTTATATCACTCTATGATATCATACATGAGACTGTGTTTAGATGGGAAGGGTATGAAGTGAAGGGACCGGCATCTGGATTGGGCACTTGGATGGTTGGCACAAAAATATACACTATGTTTGACTGACTGAAAGCCGTGTCACCACTGCTTGCGATAGGGGGCTGTGGGTGTGTTTGAGCTTGGCTATTTTCTAAGTCATCACTCGGTGCTAAAGTAGTTGACTGTTGACTGCCATTCTGTTGGTTTGGCTAAGGATTACATAATATATATATTTAAATAATCAATAATTGATGTCTCCATTAAATTGAACTAGCTTACGGGTGTCATTCCGATGTCCAAACACTTTTGTAGCCTACAGGCCCGGCACCCATTTTTCAGAAAATTACAGTTTACCCCATTTGGACACTCGACCTGTTATGAGTTAATTAGTTATAAACACATTTCTACTACATATACTAAAAATCTATTATTTTATTTGCATTTCATAAATGTATAGTAAATGGCAAGTCATAAATGTATGTCATTAAATAACTTTTAAAATAAACTAATTATCTTTAATTAATATAAATACTATATTTTGTGAGTGAAAACATATATTAATATAGATGTTAAAAAAGTATATTAATAAGTTTTTAAATCTCAAATTATAAATAAATAATGAAGCATCAGGTTGTTATGGTTATTGGCACACAATTTATACATCTTTTAAATGAATATACTGTATAACTTAAATTTAAATTTAGTTTACCTGTAAATTATGATTATTCATAAACCATCGAGCATCTCTTAGGCACGTGAATTTGCCATAATTCTCACCTGTTGATCATAATATTAATATTAGTGTGTTTATTAAGATATTATCGATAAAATTGGCAATTTAAAAATACGTACCAACTCTAATTGGTTTGCCCTTAGGATTCAAATCACCGTTATTGGCGCCGCAAACACCACATTCATTATTATCTGCCATTGTTTTACATTTAATTTTCAACACTTATATTGTGTGACAATTTTAAAAGTTATTCAAATTTACACCATTACTATATATACTTAAAATTACAAACACAATTAGATTATGATTTGTTTAAAATCGCGCATTTAAAATAATTTCTACACTTTGATATTGTAATGACCGTAAAATTAATTAAAAATACTGTATGCTTCACATTACAAATACAAATCACATAAATTGGATTTATAATTATATAAAGTTATTTGGTGTGCGACCAGTGAGTGAATGAATGGTATAATCAAACCAAATGAATATATACACAATTCAATTGATGTGTGTTTATGGGATAAACATGGGATGTATGTGCGAAAGGGCTGTCCATTGTGTGCCATTCCGTAACATTGTTTGTTCGTTACGTCAGACACATAAAAGATAAACTTATTTAAGATAAAGCCGCCAATGAAACATATTATATTGCTACATTTAGTAATCAATTATTTAATAAAACGTAAATAAGTTTTTAATTCAAAATATTTATTTAAGAAATGTTCAAAATATGGTGATACATGATAGTAAATATTTCATAATATGAGTTTTGAACAATTATAGTAACGTTAGCTTTTTTATATTTATTATATCTAATTATTAATTTTATCCTAAAGTCAATTATTCATAAAATATACATAGGTTTAAGCTAAACGAATAGTACTATGACTTATCAGGTTCAAATATTACTGTATTTTAAAGTATTAATAAAAATAGCTAACGTTACTATAATTGTTCAAAACTCATATATTTAAATATATGCAATGAATTGGATTTGCAACGATATCATTGAAATTATACTTTTTATTAGTCTACTAAACATTAGTCTGTTTAGTATTAATATACTGTACATAAGAAATATAAGAAATAAAGTAAAAGATTGAAATTTTAAAAAACTTGTTTCAATTAAAATTAAAATATTTAAAATCAGAAATATATTTATGATTACGAATAAATCTATTTCCAATAATAGTCTAGTATATTATACATACTATTATACATATTGTAAATACTGTATTATTATACAGTACTAATTAGTAAATGTTCAACTTATTTCAAATAATATTTTTCATATAAACTTAATGTCCAAAAATTAATTTATAAATAACTTTTAAATACTACAAAGTATCAGTACAATATTACAAAAACATTAATGTGTAATCTCATAAAGTCAATTAATGATCAAAAATGTTTTAATATGCAATCAATAATTAATAAAATGATATTCAATTTACTGTAGCACATCAATTTATATACAGCAATAAACATTGTACATTAAATTTTGCAGTAAACATTTAATTAAAATATTGTAACATAATAATAATAACATATTAAAAATCATATCATTTGAAAGCTTTGTTTTCAGACAGTAAATTAAAAAGAAATGATTTCAATTAAATTTTTAATCAATAAATAATGACTAATAAACGAGAGGTAGTTCTGATATGGGGTTTGCGAGAGTTTCCCATTGAATAGCATTACGAGAACAGTGTTGTGTCGCGCGTTTCAAAAACACATACATTTTTATAATAGGTTTTGCATTCATAGCAAAAAGGGTTTGAGGACTACCTCTCGTTTATTAGTCATTATTTATTGATTAAAAATTTAATTGAAATCATTTCTTTTTAATTTACTGTCTGAAAACAAAGCTTTCAAATGATATGATTTTTAATATGTTATTATTATAAGTTACAATATTTTAATTAAATGTTTACTGCAAAATTTAATGTACACTACGTTAATACCAAGTCTAAGAGTCGGGTTATCCCTGTTATTACCGCCACAAACACAACAGAAACGATATTCTGACATCAATTGCTATTAAGAACTAAACAATTATCACAATTTTACTACAATATACAGTTTGATACAAAATATAATCTATTCAATAGTTATTATTTGAAAATACGTTAGCAAATAAATTAATTGATTCATTTAACTATACCGTAATACACACATCAAATAGATGTTATAGTTTATATAATATTAAGTACGCAAAATAATTCTTAATTTCAATATAATTTTACTTGCATATAAGTTATTTACCTTAAATCATTAACAAAATAATCACTAGTATATTCAGGTAAATAGTTTATATATCATTTGCTGTATATATAAGACACCATTTGTATGCAACCGATGGCAACCAACATTTTAAAGATTACTGAACACATATTATTACAAAAAAAATGATAAAAAAGTCTAATATAAGAAAGAAAGAAAGATATATATATATATTAGGTGAAACAGAAAGTCCGTGGAACAATTCATTT